GCTCGCGACCTGTACTGGCACCAGGTCATGATGCTCGACATCGCCGCCCTGCTCACGCTTGCCGTGCTGGCAGTGCTCCTGGTCGCCCTCTTGGTGGTCAGGTGCGCCGTCTACGTCTTCCGCAGCAGTGGCCTGCAACGCAAAGACACCTTGAAGAGCACGAAGAAAGACTAAAAGCGAGGTTTTACGTAGGATTTGAAAGTTAGGGGTTCCAGAGTTTCTGGTCAATATAAGGCCCTTTTTACGATTTAATAGACCATTTGATCATTTTCACCTTATTTTCGTCAAGAAATGCCTCCTAGAAGCCAAACGCGGTACGAGGTAGAGCACAACGGACGAAATTTTCGTTCAAAGGGGTCTACTTTCACGAGTAACCCCTAAGGAACGCAAATAAATTATTTGAAAAAATATACATTTTGCGACCTGTGGTTTTTGATTTTTTATAAAGTCAATTTTCGGGGTAGAATGATCATCTTCGAACTCGATCTGTCTTTTTATGATACAAAACGACCCTGCAATTCCTAGATCGCTATCTCAATTCGTTCTCGAGTTATCGTCCGGACAGGCAGACAAACACACAAAGAGTCAAAAAACAAACAAACAAACAAAACAACAAAATAAAACTTTTTCTATAATAAAACAGACACATATAGCATATTCGTTGTGCCATTCCAACTCGACGTTTGTTGGCAAAAACACATTTAAAAAAACACACACACACAAAAAAACATTTTTTGAATCGTTAAAATCTTATACATTTTTAGTCTGAGGTAGGTCATAGCGTTTCACTCTCTTATCCCCCACCAAACGCCAAAGTACAGTGAGAAAGGAGTGTAATCATATGTAATCTTTACCCGCCAAGACCAAGCGAACGTCTAGAGACAACGGACTAGCAGTCAGGCCGTCAGCTTCCGATATGCAGCACGCCTCGCCGGCCCGCGCCGCCGCGCGACAGAACGTCGCGGTCCTCGTGATCGCCTCGCTCCTTCCGCTCCTGCTCATGCAATGCGTCTCGTCGACCGCACCTGAGGTCAAGACGACCGCGGCGGGCACCGCTCGGAAGCCGCTGCGCATCCTCGCCCTCATGACCTTCGACAC